GACGTTTTTTAATCCGACATGCTCAGTAGTCCGACGCACCTCCCGTCATGGTACCCGTCCCCGTTACGTGTCTGCTTGCACAGAAGCATGTCGCGATGTGAATCTCCCCATCCAATTCTTACTCGATGACACACATTTCGTGTGTTTTATGTGAGCAGTTCTGTTCGAACAGTTGGAGTAAAGAATATCGTAAGTTACTGCTAGCAAAACAATGCGAAATATGTAACTATTTTCGGTAATCCGGACACTTTTGGTAATCTGACACACCTTTGGTCCCATACCTGTCGGATTATCAAAAGACAACTGTATTGTATTAATCTTTAAAATATTGGTATTAAATCTGTCTTATAAAATCACGACGACTCCCGTAAATCGAGTTATCCGATAAGAATAAAATACAATACCAATATAGCACTATCGTTGAAAAAATTTGCTTATATTTGCTCACCTCGAGTTTTTCTTAGTAGAAATGGCTAAAAAGTGCGCAAAATATGTACGGAAATACAGTATTACAGCACCAACTGTATTGGACGACCACCTGTCTAAAAGACCATTTTTTGAAGGAACCGTGGGTGGTCGCCATAGACAAGTTTTACTGTATATATATAATAAACTATACAATAATGGAGTTACAAATGAATTCAACTTAAAATACATGTCGAGAGAGACAGCTCACAATTTCATATTAAAACATACAACCTGTTAGTTGTTCTTCTTTTCCTCTGTATGTGACGTATTTACTTCTCTCCTGGAGTTCTCTGCCTTCTGTTCATGGAGAGATCAACTTAACTGAGAATATTTATGTTGATGGAAGTAAGCCTTTTGTATACTGTATTTGCTCATAGCATAGGGGCGTTAGCCTTTAGGAGCTGATATGGATTTTGTCTGAATACTCTGGAATCTGTTGACGATCTCCCCGAATTCGGCTGAACTTCGCCTATATCTTCGGATTTACGACCAATTATCATTCGAGGTTATCATCCACGTGAACGGATGAAAACGAGGAAAGGAATGAGGGGTAGAGTTTTTATTCTATCTTTATCATTTCTCAACATCTTATATAAATTTGGAACTCTTTTTAAAACCATTTATTTTTGTTTCCTATTAGCAACTTCTTTCATAATTCTATTTAAATTACTATTATATGTGAACTTGAAGCGTCTATTGAGAACGGTGTTTAAGTCTTTTTTCTCTTTGTTATTTCATATTTCTTGAGTAATCCTACAATATTGTTTTTCTTGTAACCTAGGGTCTGGGCTACTTGCAATATCCTATCAATTTCATTATTCCTGTCAAAGATTCTATCACAATATAAATAAGCTCTTCTTATCGGCGTTTAAAATGCTGCCATTCTATATAGATAAGGATCCATGCACTGTGCAGGTATACTTAGTGGGCTGAGAGTAGGTTTATTTATATTATGCCTATCGGGCGGAAAACGTTTGTTATATTAATCGGGCGGAAAACGTTTGTTTTCAATTATATATTTTTTTCAGCAACAAACTAAGGTGTTTTATTTTTATTTGTTTATTTGCTAAGCACTATTCATGTGATCACTCTTACGAAAAAAATTTCAAAATCTCGTTTTTTATTAAAAATATTCTTGTTTATTGAACTGAATATTTGTAATAAAAATTAAGTCGTAAAAATTTTATCGTTTATTGATAAAGTATTATTATATTTTTTAAAATGTATTTTCCAGTTTGTACATATTATAATTACTAAATTGTGTATAAATTACATATTAACATATTGCTGTTAACTGACATTTTGTTTTGAAAATTAAAGTATAATATTTTACATTTTAATTAAGTTTTCATCGAGTAGCAGTACAGTACACGTGTTCTTGTTTCTACAAAAATACAAGAAATCAACAGAAAAAGTTTAATTGTTCTGTGGTCAATAAATCATTACTAACTTTAAGCCATTACTTTTTTACTTTTCTGAAGCGGCAAAATACCATTTATATAGGCTATATTTTTTTTATTACACGGAGCATTAGCATCAATACAATGAAAAATTGATAAGCAACTTTGTTTTTTTTTCTGAGAAAAGAAAGAAGTAATAAACTAATGAACTTTAATTAAATAAAACACAAACATCTTAGAACAATATAATACAAAATAGAATAGCATAAGTTAAAATTGTGTAGAATATAGCAATATAAATAAATTTGAATAAAAACTTTAAAAATATTTTTTCCTGAAACACTGATTAATAACTACTGTTGTAAGCAATATTGTGAAATCTATTAAAATTTAAAAGTAAATTTAGTATGAATTTGACTTTCATAATAAATTTTATCAATTTAGGAAGCGGATGTGGCTTTCGTTCCAATAGGAATTACTTACGATCGCTTTTCTGCCATGCACTTTACGCCTGCATTTTCATTTTATCAAATAACTTTTTTCATAAAAGGTCCAGGAAAATTTTCTGATTGGAATGCTATTACAAAGCCTTTTTCCATGGAAGTAAGTCACTATAACACGTGTTAATTAATATTACGTAAGAGTTCAAACTGTATTATCTATTTAATTAGATATGGATCGCTCTGTTTACAAGTGCATTTATTTTTGGACTGTTCCTGCATTTAATTCTTCAGAAAGATTTTATCAGTGCGAAAAATAGAGAATGCTGGACACTTCGTCAGATTTTTTGGAACCTATTTTCCACGTGTTGTGGTCAAGGTAAAATGTACTACTGTTGTTACATTTTATAGTTTATTAATAGCATTTATTTTTTAATATGACGATTTTAGTCTCTGTAATCCAAAAGTATTCTTGGTAGACAAATCTCACAAATGTGTACAAAGTTTACCACCCCTACCCATGGAAATATCATTGTAATTACCACCAGCGGTTATTCACTGAAGAGGGACTGGAAAATATTAGACCAGCCCGAAATGCATTTGATGTAGTCTTTACAAAATAAATTTAATTTGCCAATAAGACTGCTGTGAGATTTGTCTACCAAGAATACTTTTGGATTACAGAGACTAAAATCGTCATATTAACTAATATACAGCAAACCATTTATATATAATTTAAAGCATTTATTTTCATGAATGTCAATTAGGATTAGGTATAGAAAAGTTGAAAGGTCTGGCATCCAGAATAATGATAGGAATTTGGTGGTTATCGATTGTTGTCCTGATAACCGGTTACAGCGGAGCGTTAATGTCTTTTATGACGTGTCCTTTAACTGAGTCCTATCCAAGAGATTTTGAAGAACTCGCTAACTTCGTTCGCAACGGTAAATATTCATGCGGAACCTTTGAAGGACTTGCTTCTTGGAAATATATGTTAGTAAGTATGTTCAAAATGTTCAGGAATTATACTTTACAATTTTTCAATATTAAATATAGTATTCTGTATTGTAGGAATCTGAGTCAGAAAATACCAAAATTTTAAAGGAACACATTTTGTCCAATAATAACTTGATGACTGTTCCACAAGCAATGAATAAAATGCAGAATGAACGATTTGCATTTATAATGTCTACTTATGTGTTAAATCAGTTTATCAGTAAAGTAGAAAGGCATAAATATATAATATCCACAGATTCTTTACATACATACATAATCGCTTATCCAATCCGTAAAGGTTTTCCATTCAAGAACGATATAAGCAAGACGTAAGACGAATTTACAATTATAAAACATAATTGACGTTTACTTTTATATAAAAACAAACATTTTTTTTTCAGAGTCATTCGCTTGTTTGAAGCAGGAATTGCTGAAAAATTGTTACCATTACAAGTTGAAGAATTTCAAGAGCCGTCTGAATTCCAACCATTATCAGTCGAAGATATTAAAAGTCCTTTGTTACTTATGGTAATTGGATATCTGTTGTGCATTGTCGGTTTAACAATGGAAATAATATACGATAAAGTGACTAAAACTCTGACTCACGATAACCTTCATTAATTTTAAAAAAGAGCTTTTTTGTTAGACGATTTATCTTAGCAAATTTTGGCACCTAAAACGTCACGATGTACAGAAATGAAGTGAGTTATGTGTCTCTCCAGTATGGTTAAACTTTATCACGAATTTACTTATTATTGCTGTTTACAATGCTACAAAAGCTTTCTTTACTACTCAAAGTTAGTTATTTTGCCATTTCATAATTAAAATAATATAAAAAAATTAAAAATTAATCATCATTTTAGATATCGCCAATAGAAGGTAACTTAAGAAACTCGTTCTGGGTTTTTTAAATTTCAATTTAATATAAATACCAATGCTATATTTGAACTAAAAGAAAACTAATATACATAAGTTTTATTTGTGGTTTGTTTTCATACTACATTTATAATAGCTGAAAATAGAATTATGATCAAGTCATTATTTGAACTGTAACGATTTTTTTCTATGTATTATATTTACAANATGTTAAAATTTTTAAGGAATTTTCTGTTAAGTTGCACATGTAATATCCTACAGCCTACGAACAACTTCTCACTAGTTTTATTAACATTGAAAAAAGATTTAAAAAACTTTTTAAATTTATTAGGCCTATATATTTTTATAGTTTCTTTTTCTTATTAAAAAGTGTATCTATAAGTAAATAAATAAAAAATTAGCTCGAGACACGACTATGGTATTTAAAACAAATTCTATATTGAATGTAAACGCCTTTTGATACAATATGGCTGTAGGTGAGATCTAACCTGGTCAGATATACTTCGTTATGTAATGGTGGATTTCTATTTGACCAATCAAACGGAAAGATCGCGTTTATGTTTCTATTTTCGTTTGTCACTCCGTTTTCGTTAGCAGTGTCTGAATGCAAAGGTGAGGAAAGAGAACACAAAAAAAAATTAGAAAAGAAACTCGAAAAATTAATATATTATTTATTTATTAAAGGCTTGTAAACACTAACATATAGCATCAGAATACATTTACCAACTACCTCATTATCAGAGAGATAGCGTGAAAAAATTGTAAAATAATTTGCATGAAAAAGTTTGTTATTTCGATATTCATTATACAAATTATTCATATTCATATAATCTATGAAGTTTATCAAACTTGTGTTAATATTTTTTGTAGTGTCGCTTTACATTGATATATGTGAGCAGCTGGAAATTCAGGGGACGATCCCTCGTTAACACTTACTCTGCACGAGTTCCTAACACTCGCTCTCGTTGTCAAGTGGAGTGGGAGATGGGAAAATATGAGTTAGTCGATTTCAGATTAATAGACAGGTTTTTAGCAAAATAATAAACTTAATATTCACTTAAAACTAGAATACATAAAGTTTCACAGTTATCGCTAAATATAATAATAGCGGGTTGTAAGTTACAAAGATCTATTTGCGACAAACTTATAGAAAGCAATCGATACACGTTATACTCTTCTTAACATCCTGAGAGAGATAGCTTACAAATAGTCTAAAACAGGAGTCGCCAAAGTGGTCTATATGGACCCCAGGGGTCAATGCAGCATCATTAAGGGGTAGATGCAGCTAAGGGGTAACAACCTTTTTTTTTTGCCTGGACAGAGACCACGCTCCACAACTTTTTTTCGCTCCTGGCAGAGAGCGAGTGATATTAACTAAAAGGCAAGGGTAGTGACAAACGAAATGGCGGACGGGTCTGATGTTCACTGTTGATGTCTGCAGTTGATGCCTGCCTGGAAGATGTGTCCATGCCCTTTTTCTTCATCTTTTTGGGAGAGCTGACTAATGCTATGTATGATGCAACGTGTTCTAAGTTTGATTTGTGTCTGGGTGTTGTTTATGTTAATTGTCAAAAATCGAATGTCTCGTCTAATTTATTGCCTCTTTCTCTTCAGTAATGTTACTTTTTCTACCTCATAAAATTTATAACGGCTGTCAAACAAACTGAATTAATTGCTGCAAGTGGATAAAGTCAAGATTTGTGGTGTGAACTTAGTAATAATGTACCCCTTAAGCCCATAACCCGAGATAACACCGGCTGCGCGTGACGCTGCGCAGTACATATCCCGAATTATTTCGGGCATAGTCCAACACCTTAAGCCCTCAGCCCGAGATTTCTCGGGCAAGTTCTATAGCGTTACAGAAACCTCGGTTTTTTTGTCCCGAAAACTTTTTTTTTTTTTTTGGAATGTTTTTGTCTCCAAATTTTTTAAAAATTTTTACCCGCGCGAAACAATTTTATCGCGATTTTAATAAACCTTTAATGACGCGCGATTTAAGCTTAATTGTTTTTAATGCGATTTTTTCATCAAATTTAATTAACTGTTCTAAAGTTGTAATGAACGGATTTTACTTTGGTAAAGTTATTTGAAGCTACTTTCTGATGTCAAAAACGACCTCCAATAGTTTTTTAATTTTTTTAATTAATAGATTTTATTATGTATAAGTTTAACCTGTCAGCACGTGCCTAGTGCCGATTAGGCACTAATCGATTTTTAATTAGTTCGTGTAAAAATTCTAATTGTGGGAAAAATCTGAAAAAATTATTACCTGTTTAATTTTTCTTCAATTTACGATGCGCAATTCACTTTTTGCTTAAAGCGTCTCATTATTTTTATTTAATTATTGGTGCCGAATCGGCACTATGGCGCGCGTGATCTCGGATTTCAATTTTCAAATTTCCCGCCAGTCGCTGTTACTAAAAATAGCTGCAGCTACGGCTCGCGCTTCTTCGCTTATAATCGCGTTATTATAAAGCAAATAACTTCTAAAAAACTGAAATTTGACCGGAAATAATTTAATTTCTTTCATTGGTATTTTTAATCATTTTATAAAGTTTTATGACACCATCACATTTCTCTTAGTTGAAGTAAACAATCTGTTAACCATTTGACCCTCAGTTGACAGAGTAGGAAATTTTTGAAAACAAAGTAATAGAGCGATCAGCAGTTTGTTGTTTTTCACAGTGGAGGACTAATAAGTATATATAATAGACTCTAGTAAGACTTACTAGAGTCTATTATTTTCCAGAGTATAAATAATAGAGTTGAAAAATAACACAATTTCGTGAAATTTAACAAATCTGATGTCAATAAACGAAAGTTGAAATTATTTATAGTGAGTTGATATTTTATAAGTATAGTTTTTGCATTTACAAATCAAATTTTAAAAAATATTAATTTTTTTATTTAAATAAATTTAAAAAAAATAAAATTTTTATTATTTAAATAAAAATTCTATATTTTTACAACAAGTATTTTATACTGTTAGATAGTAGAGAAAACGTATAAATCGAGGATTTAATCGTAGTCAAGCATTTACTGTATATTAGTAAATATAAAAAAATTTGCATTAATTTGCTTTATATATTTTACCGTTACATTGCGCCAAGTAAGCATTAAACTACAGTCAGTAATATATATTATTCTTATATAAATTTATTAATTATAATAAACATATACTATGTCTAAAATTACATTAAAATAGCACTCTCTAATTAACATCTGAAACGAAAAAGTAATTAAATCGGGTCGCGCCGCCATAATAAATAATGCGCGACTGTAATTGATCGATCCGTTNTCGGCGCGTATCTAGGACTATAAACTTGAACAGGAGCGAAGATGAAACACGACACTTTGTAATTTATGCTAATTACCTTCTAATATAAAAAAATTAAAATCATTAATAAAATTATAACAAAATTAAAGTTTTTTGACTAAATTCGACTACAAACATATCGTAAAACTGGATTAAAGTAAAAATACCCGTTTTTCGACGCTAAATTTTTATTAATTAATTTTTTAATTTGGTGCCTAATTGACCGAGTGCGCGTAATTTCTATTTGACAAAGCACGCGCGTGCCGACGGGTTAATTAAGTCGGGGGGTCGGAAATCGAAAGAAAATTTTGAATTTTTTAAAAATATTTTAAAATATACGGCCAGCTAGTATTCACCCTACTTTAAACCCTTGTCCTCCCGTGACGTCTATGAGAATGTTCCAAGAAATCTGACACCAGCTGTTCTCAAGGTCATCCAGCTGTGTAAAGAATGACTCATCAGTGTCAGATTTCACAGAGAGGGGAGCAAAGGAAGTTAAACTGTGAAGCGTTTTCTTCAAAATTAAAGCTTTTCTTCCTTTGTTTTTAGATTTTAGTTATTTTATGTTTAATTACATTAATATCAAAAATTGGTAAAGTCCCTAAGAGTTATGGGCCTTATAAATAAGGGCTTTGACATATAACTTTTTAAAAAATGTATGAATCAACATATATACATCGTTATCTATAATCTGTGTGAATTTCATGAGTTATTTTTGCCGTGGAAATATTTTACGACAATTTATTAATTACATAATTAATCGCACTATTGTTTTATATAGGAGTTTTTTTTATCAAATTAATTAAATCGTTGCAAACTTCTATTTGACAGATTTGACTTTCGGAAAATTTTTTAAAACACTATTGCATGTTTTTTATGACATCAGCAGGTTTTTTGTTTTTTATTTAGTAGAATTTTTTCCATAACTTTTTTTGGTTTCCCTGTATTTTAATAGCATAAAAATTGAAAATATTCTGATATATTTGAACAAACACGGTAAGTTTTCTCCCCTACTGCTTCAAACTAATATTCCCCTGGGAAAGTTGATACCAGCTGTTCTAAAAGTCAAAAAGTTTGTAAACAATGTGACTACATGTGTGAAATTTCAAGCCTTCTTAAATGAATAAATATCAATCCTTGCATTTATATTTTTCGAATAAAAGCATTTATTTTAAATTATTTTTATTTTGTATATACTTTTTTGTAAAAATACTTTTTGGGTAGTTTTTATTTCGCGGGAATTATTTCACAGCAAATTTTTTATGTTAGATTCGCGTTAAATGGAAATAATTATTTCATATAAAAAATAAATTTTTTACTGGATTTCTGACTGGTTGAGTAGATCGAAACAAATGTAGCAAATGAGTTCATTTGGAGAAATAGAGAACATGTTTGTTCAAATATATCAGAATATTTCAGCCTTATCTAT